TGAGCACGGGTGGGTTCGATTAATACGATACCCGTGGGCCTTAGTTGTGTAACTATGCATCATGGCCCATGGGCTTGACGTTATCGATAAAGATTTTCTAGTGGGAAAGTTGCCATGGCTCGATCAACCCCTGCGCAGTTCATCTCATTGACCAGTTCCTGCTTTCATGGTAAGACTCGTTATTTTCTCAGATCCATACACATGTTCTAACATTAAGCAAGGCTCCAATCAAAAAGCGCACGACTGCGCGCGTAAAATCGGCTCGTGCAGCGCGGCCTGCGATCGTTACAGCTGGCCTACCCAGGCCGGACGAAGATTCGCCCTCGCTCTTCGTCTCATCCAAGAAAGACAAGCAGAAAATAAAACACTCGTCCTTTGTCTCTAAGATCGAAAAGTCTTCTTCAAAGACCCAGAAGCGGCGGCGGCCCAACAAGAAGCTTGTTGCAGACCTCGAATCACTAGCCGATGCGCTGCCAGGTCTCGACGGCGAAGGCGCAAACGGGGAGATTGAGGTTGGTCAAGCCAAGGTTACCCAGAGAAACCCTATGAGAAGTATGAAGAGCAAGCCAGGCGCACTGAAGCGCAAGGAAAAGCTCGAGAAGCTCGAGATGGATAGATTCAACAAAAACCTTGTACAGTTGGCGACTGCGAACCCTGGTGCAGCAGTGCAGGACCGTTGGGCAGCACTTAAGAATCACGTTCAAGGCAACATGGAGATCAAGGCCGAGTTCGTCAGGAAATGAAGAGTTGGGCTATCCTTGGGAAATGATTCGTAAGATGGCCTATAAGGAAGAGAGTATACGACAGATCGTCAATTCAAGAGGGGTTCACGCCAAGCTCGCATGACCGCGGAGCTGAATTTGATCACCCAGGTGCGGTGCGTGGTATGGGGTTTGTAGACATACATTGCGCGATACGAACTCCATATAGTTGGTAGTGCTTCGACATGGTTGGAGCTTCGGTGTTGAAGGCAATTTCCCTGGCCATTTCATAACTAGAGAAACTAGGGATTCGAAGCATTGCTTGTTGCTTATGGGTTAAAAACATAGTGCATGCTAGTGACAGTCATAACGTTGACTACATTATACGAATATACGATCTAAATGAGTATCGGAGCCGAGATTTCGGCGTGCAGTTGAGCGATGACATCACGCGTCTCGACACAATCCTGACACCAACCACGTAGTTACCCTGCTACCTCCTTAAGTCTCCAGGAGAGCCGCACAGCATATTGACACGACAATATTTCAAAAAGATCTTTGGCGCTATTAAACATGGCAAAGGCTTTGTGGCTGTCACTTATCGCGTTTACTCTACAGATTACTGGACCTTGAGAAATGTGCCTCTCCTATCTAAATTTGCATTGCTATCGTCTTCGTCTCTGTTTGTGATAGCCAATACGACTTTGCTTCCTTATCTTTTTCTTTCCATATTTGAATACGCCACAATGTCATTCCTTGAGCGTCAAAAAAGTCGCATAGCAGGTGACATAGAAGATGGTCGTCACAATAGCGTTCTTCCTTCGTCGACCTCTAGCAAAGTTCCTCATGCGAAGAAACCTCGAACCCGTCCCCCAAATTCACTCCGCGATCACCTCCCTTATCCCACTTCGGTGTTGAATCCATCCTCTGGGCCGTATGCCGTTGGGAGTATGGAAATCGAGGTGCCCGTGGAAAGACCACGCGCCATCTCCAACATAACTCGTCATGGACGGCACGTCCTGCAACTGGAAACAATATTATTCACATTATACTACCCGGCAGGCTTTGACAGTGGGGCAGGAAATGCCCCAGGTGGGGAGACGAAATGGGGTCGAGAAACTTGGCTACCACGACCGCGGTTGGAGACAGCGAAAGGCTAGCCACACTTTGCAGGACTGCCCAATGGGCTAGGAATCGGGCTCTTTGGCGCGACTACGATGCTCAGCAAACTTCGCGCATATCGAAACTCTCCCGTCGCAAGGCATTGGCCACCAGAAGGCAATCCCGTCGCAAGGCATTGGCCACCA